CCCCAAAACCCCAAAACCCCTCAAGCATTTAAATTTGATGATTATGAAATTAAATAATTCAATAAATGTAGTCTAATAGTGGTAGTTCTTAATCTACAAACTATAATTCTGATATATTTTATTATCTCAATTTAGTCAAGGGTAGTCCTTCTAATATGATATCTATCAATTAATCCACTTAATCAATTTCCCGTATTCCCATTCTCCTACTCTATCTTCTTAAGAAGGGGTTTTATAAGTTCCTTAGCCGTGCTACTTACCATTAAACCATCCTCCTTTGTATTGCTTTCCATCAGACCACGTCATAGTTCCTTGTCCGTGCTTTCTGTCCTCTTAGTACTACCCTTGATAGCACCTTCCGTCACTCCAAGTGAACTTGCCAGTGCCTTCCATCTGATTATTCTTCCAATCCCCATCATAGCATCTTCCGTCCTTAAATGTTATCTTCCCCTTGCCGTGAATAGTATTGATACTTATTTCACCTTCGTAACGAGAACCATCCTTGAAAGTGTAAACTCCATAACCCTACTTCTTACCCTGCTGGTATTAACCAACATACTTAGTACCATCAGGCCAGTATTCAATTCCTTAGCCATGTTGCTAGTCCTAATGCCACTCACCCTCATACTTTACACCCTAAATGTTCAAATATATGCCACGACCATGAGCTTTGTCTTCCCACCAAAGACCATCGTAGACTTCTCCATCAGGGTAGATCATTCTGCCATGATACTAGGCCATATCATTCTTCCAATAGCCCTCATATCTGCTCCCATCCTTCCATATTTAAAGCCCTTTGCCTTGTCTAAGTCCATCCTTAGACCATTCACCTACATAAACTGCATTCTCATCAACTTCGACAGGTTTCAGTGTAGTTACACTTCTGAAACTCTCCCTTTCCTCGAACTCCTTCTTAAACTTAAAAGGCCCAACCTTCTAGTCTATCTCCCTAAGCTTTATATTCACTGATGATGCTTCAGATCTGCGAGTAGGGCATATCCTTGAGTTAGGTCTGAGAATACGAAGATTAGACTTGAGTCTACAGTTTTTTATTTCGTCTATGATCAGTTTTCTGTCTCAACACCCTCGAAACCATGCTTGCACAAGCACAATCTTCGCCATTTGCACTGGGCTTTTCTGTATATCTCTAAGGTACTTGCTGACTTATTTATCAAATCAAGATGTTGCAGATGAGCTTTTCGGAAGAAAGTCAAGATCGCATTTGCAGCACTTCGCACTCTTGATTACTGTTTCACAGCAATTTCCCATTTTAATAATTCTGACTGATTAGCTTAATTAGCAATAAATATAATTTTAACAAGAATAGATTTGAATTATGAAATCAAGATTACATTAGTTAAACTAACAATACTCTATACTTTTATCATTCATTAAGAGATACCCTGGAGATGATTAATACTCTATTGTAGCAAGCTTACATTTATTTTATGCTATTAAATTAACCAATCTAACTGATTTCCAAAGTCTTTATGTACCTCTGACTTTTTGACTTAATTAGCTTCTATCTAGTCATTCATTTCATTCATCTAGACCAGTGATTAATCAAGCAGCATATTTATAGAGAGCACATCTTTACTATAGCCATACTTCAATGTCTCTCTAAGTTTCTCCTTTTCCTCGTTCTCAGTCACATTCTTGAATAAAGTGTTCTGGTCCAATACCAATGCAGGCTAGTCTACTCTTTATTACTACAAGACTGAGTAAATATTAGACTCGAGATTATCTTTGCTCAGAATATCGACATTCTGGATTTGCTAAGTCATTTTTCTGATTTCGTTAATCTAAGGTATTCTTTCAATACATTAGATACCTTGGCTTTAAAGATCTCTGGACAGTTCACTGAAGCCATAGCCATCTTCAGTCAATAATCCTAGCTATTTAGCTTTCGATCTGAATTAAGCATTCTCATTCTTGGCCTTAAGGTATTCATCATTTAAATTTGTTGAGAACTCTACCCATGATTTCTATTGCTTATTAATGCTCTCAGATTTCTAGATGAACTCATTCATCAGCTGATGCATGTGCACATTAGTGGCTCTGATATTGCGCTTAAGCATTTTATGATTACAATTTCCTGGCACAATCTCAAGATTTAGACCGTTGGGGTTGCTTTACACACCTGTAGCTGCTTCCTCTTTATTATTGGGATCAGCATTTTCATCTAGGTATTTGCTACTATGATGTGAAGTAGGCATAGCTCCTTTAATGATAAGTTATACTGTGTTTTGAATAAAATCTGGCATTGCTTTTAATTCAGATTTTGTAAATTGCGCTTTCATGCTTTCCATGAGACAGTAATCGCTAAGTGATCTTAGTGCTTGCCACATTCTGACACCTGTGGCTGATTCAAGAACAGACTTGGTAATGATATTAGACTGTAGCTTCCCTTTCTTGATAAGATCTTAGCATATTTAAAGGGCTACTGATTTGAATTCCTTCAATTCAACCATCGAATAAGGAAACCAGCATACAGTAAACATTGGAGTGTACTCCTCTTTATCAAATGAACATAATAATTCATGCAGAAGCAGAGCCATTCCCTTTGGATTCGATTTCAAAAACATCTATGCATTCACATGAACCCTGTGTTACTTCTACAATTCTTCCAAGTTAATCTCTAAAAGCCTCAGATTATTGAATAAAATTTGAATTTCTTCCTCCATTTAAATTTTAATTTTATGTTAAATCATTTCATGTTTTTATCTTGAAATTAGGGGTTTTGGGGTTTTGGGGTTTTGGGG